GCCCTTCACAGAGAAGGTTAATTCAGCGAAAATCTCAGAGGCAACAAGCAGAGTAAATGGCAGCTCCGTTACCCAGCCGTGAGGGATTTTCCCATAGAAAAGGCAATTTTTTTTGAGAAACCTGTAAGGGGATGGGATACTGGTATGTGCACGGGGAAATAGTTAAAATACTGGGCAGGACTAGCCATGGGTCAGCTCTTCGCAAGTTTGCAGCGGGGCAAAACTTCAGTCTTAAGTCTGGGCACAGATTTACACCTTAACAATCAGATTTTGAGAACGTGGTAACAAAGTCCTGAGCATCTGTAATTCCTGCTAAAGCCTGGGGGAGCTGTGGGCTTGCAGCATCTTCGAACATCAGAGATGAGACGACAGCGGGTGCTCTCCTCTTCGGCTCTCACAGCGTTGCAGACCAGCAGAGGAGTTCAGATTTGCCTTGATGCTGAGCCCCACGTTTTGACAATTTCCCTGGTAATTTTTGTCTGCCTTTTTCCCTTTCCAGCTTCCTCACCAATCTGGTGAGCGGTTTGCTGAACTCAACTCTTCACTCTCTCGTACCTGCGCTGGTGAGTGCCTGAAAGTCCTTCGCTGTAAGACGCTGCACGTCAACTGAAGTTAGTGCTCTTGCCATAATTGTCCAGCAGATTTACACATATATATGTATATAGATGTGCATGCACAGACACACGCCCACATGCCATAAGTGAATTCCGCAGACTTCCTTGACCTTTCTTACAGTCAGAACTTATTTGTTAGAAGTAATTCAAATTCCATCATGCAATGTTACAGGATAATTTGTAACCAATTGCTTTCTGAAACGCCTTCTGGTACCGAGACGGTGCGGTAAGCAGAAGTGACAGCCTCACTTAGAGAAAAGGTGCTTGTTAGAAAATCTTTGATTCCGTTAAATAGAATCTGTGCCATTTTGAGAAGAGGGCTGAACAATTTATATTGCTCTTTTTCCATGGAGGAAACTATGTTCTAGGAGCTGATTGTTTCATCTTGATTTAAAGTCTGTGAAACTCAAACAGTGTTAGGGAAGCGTGTTGCTACACCCACGATATTCTCACCAAGGTTGTGCCGCTTGTTACCATTGCAGCTTTGCCCATTAGTGAATATTTGGGTCAGCATCATCAATATTAAGCTACAATTCCTCAACAGTAAGTCGTTAAATTTTCTTTTCTATATTAATTTTTAGAGCGACACTTGAGTTCTGCGTGTCTAGCCATCTCCACAGGCAGCGGGTGTCCTCCGGAGAGCTGAGCCGTGGCAGAAGGAGCTGCTCTGCACGGAGCGGGAGCAGCTCCGCTCCGCCGGCAAAGCTGCTGTGGGTGGCAGAGTCCTGGCTCACCCCCCGCTGCCTGACGTGACAAAAGCATCACGATCCTGCTGTTCTCGCGGTTGTTTTTCTAACTGGGGCCGGACCCGAGCTGCTGCCAGGAGCAGCGGCTCTGCTGGGACCCCCGGTTTGCAGCCCCGCAGAGCGGGGGTTTCCCTCCCAGCTCTGGTCACTTTGAGTCCCGCACAGATGCAATTGCTGCTTCATTGCATGCAACGTTGTCCCCATTTACCCAAAACATTTCCCGTGTGATGAGACACGCCCCAGGTAGCCCCAGGACAGCGGCTTTCATGGGAGCCTTTGAACCCCGGGAGGTCTGAGACCCGCAGGAAGGACGAGAGGTTTTTCCTCCTCTGGTGCTGGGGACGCCGCGGGGCAGGGACTTTGC